CCAAGTTCGCTTCAGCTTGAGGTCACGAACAGATGGCCGGACATTCTCCTTCAGGCTTTTTTGGTAAACAGCAGAATTCATGGTTCCATTTATCACAGCAAGTCTTCCAGGTCCTGAAGCAGCAAAATAGCCCCAGACCATCACACTACCACCGCCATATTTTACTGTTGGTATGATGTTCTTTTTCTGAAATGCAGTGTTACTTTTACGTCAGACGTAATGGGACACACACCTTCCAAAATCTTTTGTCTCGTCAGTCCACAGAGTATTTTCCCATAAGTCTTGGGGATCATCAAGATGTTTTCTGGCAAAACTGAGACGAGCCTTTGTTCTTTTTGCTCAGCAGTGGTTTTCGTCTTGGAACTCTGCCATGCAGGCCATTTTTGCCCAGTCTCTTTCTTATGGTGTAGTCATGAACACTGACCTTAACTGAGGTAAGTGAGGCCTGCAGTTCTTTGGATGTTGTTGTGGGTCTTTTGTGACCTCTTGGATGAGTTGTCGCTGTGCTCTTGGGGTAATTTTGGTCAGCCGGCCACTCCTGGGAAGGTTGTTTTTGCCATTTGTGAATAATGGCTCTCACTGTGGTTCGCTGGCGTCCCAAAGCTTTAGAAATGGCTTTATAACTTTTTCCAGACTGATAGATCTCAATTACTTTTTCTCATTTGTTTCTGAATTTCTTTGGATCTCGGCATGATGTCTAGCTTTTGAGGATCTTTTGGTCTACTTCACTTTGTCAGGCAGGTCCTATTTAAGAGATTTCTTGATTGCGAACAGGTGTGGCAGTAATCAGGCCTGGGTGTGGCTAGAGAAATTGAACTCAGGTGTGATAAACCACAGTTTTAACAGGGGGGCAAACACTTCTTCACACAGGGCCATGTAGTTTTGGATTTTGTTTTCCCTTAATAATAAAAACCTTCATTTAAAAACTGCATGTTGTGTTTACTTGTGTTATCTTTGACTAATATTTAAATTTGTTTGATGATCTGAAACATTAAAGTGTGACAAACATGCAAAAAAATAAGAAATCAGGAAGGGGGCCAACACTTTTTCACACCACTGTAGTTATGTCTTCTGCATGATTTGATTTAGTTTTTCTTAAAGGGATAGTTCACCCCAAAATAAATATAATTTACTCACCCTTAGGTCAATTAAAACCTGAATGACATTCTTCTGTAGAACATAAAAGAAGATTTTCTTTTTCAAATGGTCAGTTTTTTTTCCTCCATATAATCTGTTTGGTTTCCAGCATTTTTCAGATTGTCTTCTTTTGTGTGTTAGTAGAAGAAATAAAGCAAAACGGGTTTGAGGGTGAGTAAATGATGACAGAATATTCATTTTTTTGGTTGAACTATGCCTTTAAGTTATGCTATGGCCAACTTTTCATCACTTAAAAGTGTGAATATTGTTTACTTGTGATGTAAAGTGGCCAGAGATTGTCTACAATACTCATTTTGAAAAATGTATTTATTTCGGTTTAGGAAACCTACCAAATATATATTTGTTCAAATATGCAATGTGTGACATGCAATATCAGTCCATTTTTTAGCTCTCTGCTTCAGCGTTACATAGTCAAATGTCATTTTAAAGATTTCATTGTCTACTCAGCTGCGCTGCGCTTCGTCCTGATGTGCTGAATGATGCATTAGTCAAGCATCTAGTGATTCACACATTCACAAAATAAACTAGATAGTATGTACTACAGTCATCTAGACATTGTGCGACAGCTACTCGTGCCAAAAGGACGTTTATTTCTGCTCGCGGTTCATACTGTCAGGCAGATGTAATGAGCTCAATGCTAACACTGAGGATTTTATCATCGGGGTTTGATTGACTGGCCGTGAAAGTGTGAAGTGCAATATTTACTGTGAAATTAAGTTCCCAAAATACTCGTGTGAAATGAGTACTCAATAGAAAATAAAATATTTGAGATAGAAATCAACATGGGTGGTCAATAATGTCATGATCACCGTTGTCTCTATGCATTCAGCAATCAGTTTATCTTTATAAGAACTAACGTTAGCTCGAGTAGATCGGATCCAGGATGACGGACACGCTGGTACTCACCTTCCAGACTCGGCTATCTGCGGTCATGGAAACTGTCCTCAAGACCACCATGTACGAGATCACCAGGTTAGTGGAGGAGAGCTTCTTGGAGCAGATGGATCGAGGCAAACGAGAGGCAGAGGTGATAAAACGGAGGCTGATATTGTCGGAGGCCAAGCTGAGAGAACGGGAGAGGTTTAAGAGGGTGAGGTGTGTGGACTGTGGTCGGACAGCAGTGTCCAGGAGGAGGATGCTACACAGATGCCCCGAATCACAGAGCAGTAAGTAGAAACATGACTTTCCAAGAGGACCGTCGCTAGGTATGCAGTGCTTACTTGGGTCAATGACAAATAAAAAATAAGAATGTGTGTTGCCTCTAGTTTCATACATTTATACAAAATGTGTATGCCATTTTCAATAATAATTGTATGAACAAACAAATGGTTGGAAAAATATAAAAGTAACGTCCTTTCTGTACAAGTTTCTAGACATTCAATGTATTATATTTGTTATATTTTATAAGAACTTAATGACCTTGACTTAAAGTAATGAGGATCTAAAGCAGTGGTTCAGCCTTTTCATCTATTAATAATAATTTATTAATTTAAAGGCACAATATGTAATTTTCGCAGCTAGAGGGCGTGTATTCAAAATAAACAAATAGACAAAGGCTTAGTTTGATGACGCTGTGACTGAGTGTGGAATCATGGGAGTTGTGGTCTTCATCCCCACAGCCGATGCAATCTGACGGGACTCGGGCAGAAATCATGTTCATGGATGAGCTAATGATTTATTAACGTAGAATGAAGCAGGGTGAGGCTGAAAGCCGTCGAAGCGAAATGAGGCCGATGAACGAGCGTGACACACGGCTTGAAAGCAGCGGAGCTTTTATTATGCCACAGTCGACCGCTTCCGCTCCTTCCGGTCGTGCGTATGTGGGGTAAAGCAGCGCTGTTTTATCACACTAGATACATTTGAAAGTTCTGTTATAATGCTACTCTGTGCGGTCATCACCGGTCTATTAAAACGCACAACATATTAAAGCGTCTTTGGTGTTTCCATGTTTTCTACAAAACAAAACTGGAAATCGAGGGGTTATGACGTCATTGGCAGGCGACACAATGACACTATGGACACGGTCTGTGTCACTAGTTAAAATTGCTGATTTCTCTGGATTTAAACATTCTTCGAAACATTTGGGATAATGTAAGTACACAAGTCAGCAAAATATATAACACTGTTCTAGTGGTTTTTGGATATTTTAATAAAAAAATCTTACATATTGTGCCTTTAAATACTTTTAAGTAATCTTGTAGCCCCCTTGGAAATTTTCTGAGGCCCCCAAGGTGGCCCGGAGTCGTCTTTGACCCATGTACCACATTACACATATTCAGTTAAATTAAATAAGCTTGGTTAAGTCCAACAATTAATTAGAGACTGAATGCTGCTCTGTTATTATTATTATTATTATTATTATTGTTTTCATTTTTTTATTTTATGTTTTTATAGGTTTGGACCACCCACTGGTTGTAAAGCAGGAAAATGCCTCTGACAGTAGCTGGAAGTGCAGTCCCAAGGGAAGCGCAAATCAGGAGAAGCCTTCAGCAACTCCAGAATCTAAACAAAATGTGTGTATGGTATTGTTTTACTGGTAATATCCAGTGGCCCAGAAGACAAAAAATATTTGGACTTTTTTGAGTGTCAGAGAGCATCTGTGTTTTTTTTTTTGCACATGCCATTTGATTTGATATCATCTAATGCAATAAAATTCATGCATTTTAAGCTTGGCTTAGGTGTCCAAATATAATAGCCAAATACTGGGCCATTGTAGTTTGCTGAGATGTTATGTTAAAAAATATGTTGGTATCATTTTTGAGTAGTTTCTAATTCACGTGTGTTTTGTGCATGACAGACTGTTCAAGTGTGTGAACCTAAACCTGGAGGAGAAGTGAAAGAGGAAGCAACAGAGGCTAGAGACCCGCAAGCTCGTCTAGTGATACATCCTCAAATACACAAACAAAAAGATCCTCTGAGCGGTGTTAAAGAGACCAATGGACTCCGCAATCCAGATTCTGACCACAAACCAGGTGGCACATCTTGCACTGAAAGACCAGGGGATGAAGATGAGGTCAGACACAGAAACCTCCCAAAATGGTTTGACCCTAAAACAGACCCTTCAGCATGGTCTTCCTTTTCACAGCCAGAACCAGTCAGGACCTCAGTATCTTCAGAGTCTCCGGGTTTGAGACCGCAAGTGGGCAGCATAGACTCAGGGCCTGTTAAACAGGAAGTTGTAGTGATGCTTCCACCAGACTGGGAAGATATGGAAAGGATCAGGCCTCAGGTGGTTTCTGCTCATAACAGTGCTAAGAAAACACAGTCAGATCTTCAGCCTGGAGATCCTCTCACCCCTAGACCTCAAGTACAGGAGCGAGTCTCGTATCCTGCGCCTCCCATCAAGGTTCAGAGTCTTGCACCACAAACCATGCAGCATCTCAGATCACCCGTTAGGAAGAACACAAAAATTCTTCTACATCCCAATTCAGTTGTGACGGATCACGGCGCCGTTGATATAGACCGGGTACAGTCCATCTGCAAAGCCCTTCCTGCTACAAAACCTCCTCATGTCCGTCAGTATCCTGAAGGAGCCGCTACAGGTGAAAGAAATTTCAATACTGTACACCCAGGAAGAAGTCTGCCGCAGTTGGTCAGTATGAGGGTTCAAGGGGACACGCGGCACCATTCGGCAAAGACGATGCACAATT